ATATGGCCTATTGAGAGCATCGGTCGTGCCAGTGCATTTGGAAGCTTTTTTCTTTAAGCTGGGCTGATTAATTAGAGAATAAGACCTCATCAAAATTATTGTATTTTATATGTTTAGAGATAGGCGTTAATTATTAATTCATTCCAAAGAATGAATAATTTTATTTCTTATGATAATCTTGACGAGGAGTGGAGATATGACGTTTGAGAATATTCACAGTCTGTAGACGTATATGATATATAACCATAGACTTATTTATAAACTAATAAACTGAGTAGTTAATATACTATTTAAATTTGTGCCATAGTAACAAAACTGTCATTAATACCAATTTGGACGTTAACTTGAAGGTCACATTTCCCTCTCTCTACGCTATGTACTTTCGAAGATGTGCTTTTTATTCACTAATGAAATTCTATTGATTTTGAGAAGTTTTTTCATATAATTGGTGGTCACGTGTGCAAATTTATTTATAGAATTAAAGGTGTTATTTACACAAATGTCAGGTTTTGGCATGTGATTAACCTTCAATACCTGGTATACTGTAAGTACATTTTGTGTCCACTTTGTAATGTACTTTGTTCCACATTAGAATTTATATTTAACTTAAAAATTGATTTTACTCACAAAGATACATGTTTAATAAATAAATAAATCTGTGTGAGTATACAGTAACTATGGCAAATATATTTGTTATTTATGTGAAACGAAAAAACCGAGAACTTTAGATGAAGTTTCAGGCGGATACATATTGATATTTGATTGGTAAATATAAGTTCATCTTGCTATGATCAGTTTCACACATTAACTATAACAATATGTGTAAATTATGTTTTGTATAATCTCATTTTAAAAATATTCTAACAAAAAGGTTGTCGGTTTATTTGGTATCTGGCTAGTAGTGGAGTCCACAATACGCGTCTCGTCCCATTCGGAACTCGTCGACAAGATATACTTAGATTCCAATGTTGACATTCAAAATATTCATCCTGAATTTTACTACTAGTCACATTCTGAATATACTAGATCTTCTAACATGAAGTTACATCGAAACCGTCCCCTGAGAATGCACATTTACCAATAAAGACTGATCGAAATCCAATTCTAATTCTAAATAATAGAGTAAATCAAACTCTTCCTTATAATGATATTGACAGGTAAATTACTGTTCAGATATACACAAATAGGTATACCCTCTAAATTAACAGAATAATTCATATCTTTTACAAAATTATCATCTCACGATTGCTAGATCATAATAAAAATTCCTTACTGAATTCGAATTTTTTTAAAAAAAACGGTACTTTCCCGTGTTAAATAAAATTTCTATTTTTAGCCATTTTTAAATTATTAAGACCAATCATTATATGTGAAAATTATATTTGAAATAATCTCAGAGACTGAAATCTGAATAATTCCAACTTTTCGTCCAGCTAACTTATTACCCTGAAGAAGTCCAGACAAGTTAGCTGGACGAAACGTTGGAATTATTCAGATTTCAGTCGCTGAGATTATTTCAAATATAATTTTCACATATAATGACTTCTCTATACTCGGCGCCCAATTTCTGTCGAATTATTCGTTCAAATCTTGACCAATATTCCTATATATTAAGTCCAATGTTTTAACTTCAATTGAATTCCCTTTAATTTATGTATTAAAAAGAGTATTGCTTTTGAAATTTTTATTATATGTACTCATTTTATGAATACAATATATTTACGAATTGTTTTATCACTTCTTAGACTTGAATAGTTCATTGACAAACTGATGCATTATTTCATTTCCTCATTCTTATTGATATCCAAGTTGTTTTCTGGGTTATTATCTGAGAAGCGTCAAATTTCCACATCGTCAATATCCTGAATCTAACATTCGAAGTCAAAAAGGTTGGTTTCGTGAAGTATACACAGACCTAATGGTTCATGATAATAAGTTTGTGAGTGATAAGGCTTCAGAAGTGAATAATACCGAATACACGATAAATTCAATACGAAGTCAATTGAAATGGTCTTCAAATATGTTAAGAGTTACTTAACGAATGATAGGAGCTAGATGTATTAATAGACTCCAGTAGACCAAGTTTAATAGCAGAAATAAAAAACATAGCTGACTCCATCCGTAAACAATAACGAGATCACTTTGAAAATTTTATAACACTGAAGGCTGACGGAATCATAAAGAGTAAAGAAAAAGGTGAAAGAGAACTAGACAGGAAACACTATTCTTTTCACGATTACTGAAAGTGAGGATTTTGAAATAACTTGTTCCCACTTGAAATTCAAGAAACAAGAGCTGTTAGTCAGCTTAGTTTGTCTCAGACTAAGCAGCAAAAAAAATGAGATTTTACTAGCCAACCTTGAAACTTTATCTTCTGATAGCAGATGTTCACTCTTTGGTGAGTTTAATGCATACATTATACACTGGATAATCTAAGGGTGGAGGTATTAGAAAAATCATTTGAATATGGCGAAAAAATCTGCCCTTGTGCACCATTTTAAAGAACTAACAAAATATGACCTGAATTCGTCGTTATCGTTGTTAAATCTTGTATTCATTCACCACAAGAAAGATATCACTAACCGAAATTACGTACCATCACCTGTGAAAAATGATCATGGAATGTAACTTTTCGTTTTACGTGATCAAACAGTGATGTAAATTCGCGGCAGTCAAATCAAATGTTTGAGAAGTAAATCTTTAAATAATCATATACCTAGTGTTAATTGTAGGTTGTTCTGTCGGACCAGAGGTTGTCCAAAACATGACTTGTGACGTCTTTAGAAATTTACACACGAGTTACTGAACGGTGAATGCCACGGATAATACCATATAAATTGAGAAACTGTCCACAAAGGTCCATCAAAGAAGTCCGTACTCTTCTCAATCAAAGGAAAATAATGCAGAAAAATTAGGTCACTAGATTCTTGGAAAACCAAATCTCGGTATCGAAAAACCATAAATATTTGTGTGTCAATCTAATGAAAGTCCAGAAGAGATTTAAAAGTACAATTTCTTAATAGTTTTAAGTAAACTGCAGGGAAGAGATAACGTATCATAACAACATATGAAGGGTGTCTATTTCATTAATACATGAGATATCTTAAGACGCTTTTCATAAACATGTATATACAGTAGACACCTTTCTTACAAGAATTACTAAAATCATAATATCAACATTCTGGATTCTGTGATAATTCAATAACTCGACGTCCTTAGACTACTAAATAAGCCCTATGTAGGCGAATTAACTAGGCCGAATGAAATCATTACTAGACCACGTAGAGAACTTGTGGTTTTCATTTCAAAATACTCGCTTGTTTATTTTATTCCGTTTTTGATGCAGGATAAGTTGCCCACTTCATCAATATATAGAAGGCAATACAACACGAAAGGTGTAGTGCATAAATTCACAATGTAGAAGAATGGTACAGCGCTTGGAAAGCAAAAGTTAATAAAGCCAAACGCAATGTGATATGTATTGAAAGTTAGTTTCACAAGACCAGAACAAATTACTTAGCAAGTAAATTTCCCACGAAACCATTAATAAGTGCCGATTTTCGCCTCAAAAAATGGTTAAAACTCTTTAACTTCGTGATCTCATTTTTCAAAAGATTGTTACGTAACACTTTTTTCTAAGACCTTATTGATTATTCACTGTTTCTTGTATCTAATTTAAGGTTTACTCAGTAAGTCCATTTTTTAAAGTATTCCATAAGCTATGTTACTAATTTTTTTAATTTTAAATTTTTTTTTTCATTTCCATTCTCTTCTTAATGTCTTCTTCTAGAAGAATTCATATATTTAGCCTATGAATGAACTACTATTTAGACAAATTTTTATTTTTTGCATAATTATAGCCCTTCACAAAATTTTCTTATAAAATAGTAAGTATACTTTCACCAATATTCTTCAATATTTCAACGAATATTTTGACAGAAATCAGGCGCCAAGTATAAAGAAGATATGATCCGAATGTTTCGTCTAACAAACTTGCCTATACTTCTTCAAGGTACTAATTAAAATTTCAATCGCTGAGATTATTCCAAACATAATTTTCACAAATAATAGATATATTTGTCTTGTTGTTTCACTGAATCATACAATTGTTCCTAGGTTCCAAGCAGCTGGAGTGAATCTGTGAAGAAAATCAAATCTCTTAAGATCGTTATTCTTGCTTTATTTAAACGTTTTATTTTGAATTGTATATGCGATCATGATTATCTACGGTTAGTGAGTTGCACACTAGAACAAAAGATTTCTTTGGCTTTCAACGATTTCCCATCTGATTGTTATACACTAAGCAATGTTTTGTACTTAACGGTGATTAAAACTGTTTTCTGTTAAGTAGTGTAAATTTGATGTTTAAATTAAGTAAGATAATGATATGATTCGTTGTATTTATGAGAAAGAAATACCACAATGCTCACAACTGATGAAAATCATTCCAAATTATTAAAATACTCGTTCGATACTTTAATATATTTTACTTATTAAAAAACAAGTATGATTAAGTATAGTTTTATGATAAAACAACACGATAATATAAATCATGTATCAACAACCCCCCCACACACACACACACAAATTCACATATTCAACGTTGGGTTATACTTTATGTTTGAAGGCTAATGATACTAAATGAATAAATACCCGCATAGAATCAAGTTGATTAAGGGTCCAACTAATAAATGACTATAGGTATGATTAATAAGGTTTGGCTTAATAATTTTGAAGAAACTGAGGATTGAATAGGTTGTTATAAATAAATTAATATATTTGTATTATTATTTATTCTCCGAAGAAGTGGCTTACACTGAGTCACGAAACGTCAGAAAATTTAATTTTTCTACTCATTCGGATATTACAAATATATTAATTTATTTACAATAAATTACTGTTTAAAAAGGCATACGTTGTAATAACCAATAAACTTCAATTTCACTGTTATAAAATAGCCAATTGATAATTGAAGTTTTTAACTACCTATGCTAATTAGTTCAATATTTATTATTATTAATATTGGTAGTAGTAGTAGTAGTAGTAGTAGTAGTAGTAGTAGTAGTAGTAGTAGTAGTAGTAGTAGTAGTAGTAGTAGTAGTAGTAGTAGTAGTAGTAGTAGTAGTAGTAGTAGTAGTAGTAGTAGTAGTAGTAGTAGTAGTAGTAGTAGTAGTAGTAGTAGTAGTAGTAGTAGTAGTAGTAGTAGTAGTAGTAGTAGTAGTAGTAGTAGTAGTAGTAGTAGTAGTAGTAGTAGTAGTAGTAGTAGTAGTAGTAGTAGTAGTAGTAGTAGTAGTAGTAGTAGTAGTAGTAGTAGTAGTAGTAGTAGTAGTAGTAGTAGTAGTAGTAGTAGTAGTAGTAGTAGTAGTAGTAGTAGTAGTAGTAGTAGTAGTAGTAGTAGTAGTAGTAGTAGTAGTAGTAGTAGTAGTAGTAGTAGTAGTAGTAGTAGTAGTAGTAGTAGTAGTAGTAGTAGTAGTAGTAGTAGTAGTAGTAGTAGTAGTAGTAGTAGTAGTAGTAGTAGTAGTAGTAGTAGTAGTAGTAGTAGTAGTAGTAGTAGTAGTAGTAGTAGTAGTAGTAGTAGTAGTAGTAGTAGTAGTAGTAGTAGTAGTAGTAGTAGTAGTAGTAGTAGTAGTAGTAGTAGTAGTAGTAGTAGTAGTAGTAGTAGTAGTAGTAGTAGTAGTAGTAGTAGTAGTAGTAGTAGTAGTAGTAGTAGTAGTAGTAGTAGTAGTAGTAGTAGTAGTAGTAGTAGTAGTAGTAGTAGTAGTAGTAGTAGTAGTAGTAGTAGTAGTCCTGACAAGACGATCAGTCAAGAGAAATTACCTGAAGTAAAATTTTAAAAATGTAGATTATTTTTTACTGAATGAATAACTTGTTTTAAATCTTCAGAAACTTCTATTGACAACATAGTTATAAGTAGATTTTATGTTAATTTTTGTCCTAAATCTAATAAGCACTTTTTAATCTTATTTATAAGCCTAAATTGTCCCATTATTATTATTATTATTACTATTATTATTATTATAATTGATTTAAGCGTTACTTATTGCCAAATTTCATAATTACTTTTAAAGCAAAGACTACAAGCTATGATTGTCATACATTGGTTTGATTTTCATGTAATTCCACTTCACCAAATATCACAAAAGAAATAATAACTAATTAATTACATTCTAATATTTACTTTAACTAATCATGGTTATTGGTTTATTAAATACACTTACATATTTCTTATAATCATTAAACTGAAATTTGTAGATTTGAACATACGCACATTTACACACACACACACATACATACATACATACATTTATGTACACACACATACAAATCAAGTGCATGAGTAATACTAAAACGATCTAATAATTTACAATCAAATTTAATTTTATCCGTCATAATGCTCAAATATAAAATAATAATAAACTAAGAAAATTAATTCCATGATAGGTAAATTATAAATAGATTTTTCACCAAACAAAATTCTATTTTGATTCTTCTTTATAAACTTGTTCCGCCTTTTTTATTATATTGTAAACAAGCAAATGTTCATTTAAAGTAAACAAAATAACAAACATGTTAGTCTCCTACAGTGTCCACTAATTCAAATCACTAAACTAAGAGCTATATTTGAAATTCTAAAAATAATTCTGTTAAAAAAAATTAGTATTATGATTAAGTGTTGTTAGTGATTAGATTTGAAGTAAATTGTAGTATTTAGTTAAAATACAATTAGTAGCTTATAAATAATGAATTGTAATTCGTTACTAATTAAGGTATGCGATCCAATTCTCAATTCATAGACAGATAAACAAAATTCAATATGTAATTCATAAGAATTTAGTAAAATATATTCAAGGAAACATGAAATGAAATAAAGACTTAACTAAGAATTGTTCAAACATTATGAAAACGATACCAATTACAATATAAGTGTAGTTTTACTTTTTAAACAGAAGTAATTATTCACCTAAATTTACTAATCGAAGCCTTATTAATATGATTATTTGTATTTCAGATGTATCAAATATCTAAATAAAGAATTTCCATTCAAGTTTACGACATAAAATCATTCTATTTAAATCTTTATTACAGTGTTAATTTTAAGTTTGACAAACCACTTTACATGTGACAAAATATCAACTTATTTATGTTCCTCATTTCATAGTTTTGATAGAGTTTTGTTCTCTGAGCTGGATAGTTTGGTCATGGTTATTGAAAATTTTCTAAATATTCTCTCATATTATGTAATTTATCAGTAAAACGTAAAGTCTGTTCGTCTGAAACAAGTCTTTATTATTCTTGTGTAAAATTATAATTCTATGAAGTTGTTGAGTACTGCACTACATTTGTGACACTTCAGCAACTCTAAAGATTCATATCATATCATAAATGAATTCAAGTCAAAAAATAGTACTTATTAGATTAAGATATATAAGTTCAATGTTTATAATCTGAAAATAAAAGTTTCAACTGTACAGTATTGAACATTAAAATAAATCATATTTTTTATATTACTGAAGATCTCTAACGATAGAATATAAAATCCACTTTAGTACTGTTTCCATTTTCGTATACATCTAAACGATCAAAACCTTTTGTGAAATTTTCCTCTTAAAACAGAATTAAATGATAAGAACTAATAAATAATTGTTCAATAAATCAAATCAATTTTATCTTAACGCGACATAAGTCTCGCAGTGTAAATCTCTTGGCCTACTGAGTATACCACATTATACAACACTAATTCACATAGTAAAATTATTACGCAATATTGAGAAGATAAAAATATCAGAGTATTTATTTATTTCAGCTTATTTTTTAGTCTAATTTTCAACTTTTTTCTTGATACATTTTTATCAAAGTCCAAATATTCGGGCTCATGATATTGTTTGGCTTGTATCTTCCCATTGAGGTTTAAGACTGCAATTGATCAATCTGTTATTGGAATATGTGCATAAGCACAAGCAAGTGACTATCAGGACTCAGTGGCTGAGTGGATAATGCGATGGGGTTTGAAGCGAATGGTACTGGGTTCGAGTCCCAGAGTGAACATCAACTCTGAGATGCAGGTACATCCAGCTGATGAGTCCCAAACAAGAAGAAATGCGCGTCTTGGATTCCACCACTCACTACCATCTATCATTGCTTCATTGGAGTAGCTTATAATTCAGAAATTGTAATAAATATACTGGTATTTTTGGACAGTAACTTAAAAAGAAATATTAAAGAGGAATAATATATTTGTAAAATGTCAGCGAATATAAAAATTATATTCGATAATTTTGTTGCTTGATTATATTTTCCTTGAAAAAGCTTGGACCAGATTGCCAGGCAAAACGTTGGATTTACTTCAAATTCTTTCGCTGAGATTTCACAAATACATTCTTCTTCTTTAATGTTTCACATTAACTCGGCGCCCAGATATTGTGAAACTATTCGTTCAAATTTAGACGAAAGTTCTTATTTATGAAAAAGAAATAGCTTTTAGTCCAACTATCAACATATTATTATTATTAAGATTTCACCTTTTCTCCGCATCACTAGCATCGTTGTCATTTTCATGTTCTTTGTTACTGTCATTTTCTTTTATAACGAAATTCTTTCTTCTTTCGGACAGTTTTACAGTTTCGGAACAAGTGCTGGAAAGTACAGCATTTTTAACCTTGTTATGTCTGCGAATCATAAGTCTGTATGTATGTGTGTATGTGTATGTTTATTTGGGCATAGACCCTGTCTTTTTTTGTTTAATCCCCAAGTATTACTGGTACTGAACTTTAATAAAAATTTCTTTATTAAGTATTGAAGCTATTCTATTCAGTCTTATTCTTAGTCATGAAATTTTTTAAACTTATTTTGGTAGACGTGTATCAAGTGAACACACACATAGACTTACACTCAAAGTTGTATGTCTCCTACCCCATACATGCATACTGATAGACAATGAATATATGAATCACTATAACTTATCACTCTTGATAAGTTGGCCGGAATCCAGATTTGAAATGTCTGTCTTTTTTTAATAAAGTTACATGATTTATTTATAACTAATTGTCAGATTAGAAATTAAAGTACATTTTTTGAATAAATATGCAATAGCATTCAGTTTGTCTGTCTATTTTGATCAGTTTGGCATTAATAATATAAAGGTTAAAATTGGTAATGGGACTTAATAGATCTGGTGGTTAGATGTTCATTGAAAAACCTGAACACCCAAGGTTCGGTCTCTTTAGGTTACATGCGTAGTGCTGAGATGTCATATACTAAGACGAAACAGATGTTTAGTACACCCTAGTTTCTCGTGGTACTCCAGATAGGACTGATCCTTGAGGAATGTCAGTCACAAATGGAAATGATCTTCACATTACCTCTTCATCTAAAAAAACAAATCATTTGACTTTAAAACTTCTGATTGAAAAGTTTAGGGAATGTTTTGCTAAAAAGTTTCGAAAGAATGTGTTTCTTTAAGGATTCAGTGATGCCCAGCTTACATATCTCCTTAAATCTCTAACTTGTAAATAGAAAACTATACTCATTACCGGTCTCAAATTTACTAAAACCTTGTGAGTAAATCAAAATATTGAGTTAGTATACTCAAGATTTTCATGAACAATGGAGAATGGTCAATTGCAATAGACAACATTAATGGCGGAAAAGTACAAATCCTAAGGACTTAATAATGATGTGTTTTATAAACTAAACCATCCAGGATATTGTCATCTCTGGTTTATATCACTGACGGCATACTGGGATTATCTAACACTAGAAACAATGGACCGTATAATTGTTACAGTTAGGCTATTGACAACATTGCATGACGGATAAACGTTAACTAATTCCTAGATTACTCTTTAATAAATGGAATTTTAACAAGATAAGCCCTATAAGATATCATTAATTAGATAAAAATAAAATAGGCATGAGATTTCTGTTGGATAGATCGTTTCAACTAGATTCGTTGTTAATATAGTTGAGTGATTCTAAAATATGTTGATCAGATTCATATTGTTAGGTATGATTCGATTCCTTGAGATCAATGCATCTGGTAAAACCTCCACAATGGCTAATTTAAAGTAGGAAAACAGTAACAACATCATGTTAGTTGTAGAAACACAATTCTATGTAAATTTACAGTTTTTCATCTAATATGCACACATTAAATAGTATTCAAAAAGATGTTTCTTTATTAGTTTGTTCGGCGAGACTACAATTGATGGATGAGCCAATCAGATTTACGATAACAGGTCTTGGATTTTGGTGCGAAATTCATTCACCCATCCGGTTAAAGAGTATTTTTGCATTTTGTCTGGTGTCAGTTTGTGATGAAAACCATCTAACCCTAACCAGCAACTGTAAATCATAATTTTTATTTTTCACATTCATTTTACCCTAGTAAGTAGGTGGATATTCTCAAGGTCACTTTAGCGTCACTCAAAGGTCGTCCATAAATTATAGTCTCATCGATTATAACTGTATTTTCGATTAAATAGTGTTAGTTTAGTCAGTATTTTTTTCTAGATGTACCCAATAAATCTATGCACTGGATGTGATTTTAGGATTAACTAAAAATTAAGGAAGTTGGCTTAATATATTGTAAATTGTTTAGGTCTAAAGTACTTCGTCATGTTCGAAGCTAATTAAAGGTGAGATCTATCTGAATCAAATAATACTGGGCAGTGCTTTTTTATTATTTTATTAACTGTTTCATTTTGAACTATGTAATAAGCCTAGAGTAGTTCTAGTCATACACTTCCGGTCAGAATATAATAACTACTCAGTTCTTTATTATTTTAACTGTTTTTCTGACACACATTCACTTGTCCTGATACATTGACAGTGTTAAATAATCTAAGCATATACTGTTGGACATAGAATTATACTAACTTTATTAAAATATATCTGTCTCTAAATAGATCTCTTCATTGAGTATTTAAAATATTGTATAAAATATTTATCCATTTCACCTTTTAATAATTAAAAATTCAATGGTAAATTTCCAATTATTGAGCCATGATCTATTATGAATAGAATCAGAATACACTGACTTTTAATGGTTTTATAAATAATGCTGTTATGCCAATGAGATTTTCATTGGATTTTGTAATTGTTATGTTATTATGGCTTATTTTTTGTTATTAACAATTTATGCGTCAAATTGTGTCTGAAATAAATTAACAACAACCTGAAGAACCGTTAATCCACAATTGTCAACATCATTCAATTTTGGAAATAGTACAATCTTTAATGGATGTTATAAGTGAGCTACTGCTTTAATTTAACCACTGGGACTTCAGAAAATCATTCCTACAGTTATTCAGTATTGAGTAAATAATTATTGGCTAGTTGAGTGATTTTGCAGATATTTTTATATATTTCCAGGAATCAATTAAAGCTGCTCA